CAGAGGGCTGGGGAGGTGCAGCTAGTCTTTAACCTGATCTTCAGTTTCCCTTTTCTTCTAAAAAACACAGCAGCAATTATGCCTCAGCTGGGAATTGGAAAGTTCTTTTCCCACTTCCCACTGCAGGTCTGTGTGTGCAGACCCCATATTGCAGGGAATGCATGTGCTGCAGTCCAGGCTGACTGCAGGGCTTCAGCAGGTTCAGGCTGGGGCAGAAGGAACAGCTTGCTCGTTTGTTGGTACAGAGAGTTTTTGCCTTGGTACGTCTTCTTCCTCATCTGTGCTTGACTTTAGGGATAATTATTTGAATTTTGACTGCTTCGCACATATGAAGATGCAAGTTTTTGGGTCACTGACTCTGGTTAGCATTTCTGGAGCAGGGAGTTGCAGAAATACTGCAAAAGGAAGCTTGAACACTTGGCATGAGTGTGTGTGTCAGGTGATGTGATGGATGGTTGCTTTGGTTATTTAAGAGATTGGAACAGTTTTAGTGATAACTCTGGCCACTTTGTGCAAATCACAGTCTGGTCTAATTATTACCCAAAATATATAGAAATCAGGAGCACCCTTAGTATTTTCATATGTCCTGTAAGACTTTTATCAATGAAGATCATTTTGAGTGAGCTTTACTTGCTTTGAATTTTGTTGGTAGTCCCATAGGTCCTTTGAGAAAACCACTGAGTCCCTTCTGGCCAGTACAAGACTTTGAGAAGCACAAAATAGCCATTTTTCAGACTTCCCACTGAGGAGCCTGTCAGGCTGTGATCTGAGAAGCTCTCACAGCATTTGGGACCACGTGCATGTGAAAATTTGGCTGTCCAGGGGGCTGTGGATGCTCAGCATCTCTGCCCATCTGGGCTTCACTTCTTTGCCCAGAATGAGCTGAGGGCTGGCCAGGGGGTGGTGTAGGGCAAATTAGGCAATTTGGCTCGGGGCTCATCTCAAGCCTGGCCTGGGGGGGTTGTAATCAGTCACAACTTGTGTTCAGAGTGGAGACAGTAAGTGCCTTGAGCCTGAGAATCAGAGCAAGAAGCCTCTGTTTGTTCAGGTGTGAAATGTCTGCAGCCTCCTTGTCCTGATTTGTCACATTATCACCCTCAGCTTCCAGTGAAGCTAGTGGCAGTTATCCAAAAATCAGGTCATGCTATCTCTGAATGATATTTTGGATTCCCAGTTATTTGCAGAATATTCCAAGGCAGCCTGTGCACAGAGCCATGGTTTCCTGAAAAAGACATGGGAGGGCACCGAAAAATGAGCTTTTTGTAATAGACATGGAATACTGAAACACAGCCCAAAGCAGAGGGCCAGTGCAAAGTATTTCCATTGCTTCAATTCCAAAACAGTCTGGCGCTCTGAGAACCACAAAGCACTTAAATCATTTTACTTCTTCCTGTGGCCCTGGGAGGTAGGGAAATGCTGGAGGAATTGAGGAATTGAGCGAGCAGTGCAGACTCAAGCCTTCAAATTGACCAGTAATTCTGAATAATCAACTTCACGGTTGTCAGCTTCGGTTCCCAAAATGCCTTCTCCAGCCGTGGGTAGCAGTGAGGCTGCAGGAGATGGAAACACCTTGTGCTTCTGCACCTCTGGGGAGATCTTGCATCCAGAAATGTAAGTGAGCCCATCAGAGCACGGGGGGCTGTGTGTGAGCAGTGCCTGGGATGACCCTCAGCCATGGGGACAATGTGCACTTGCTCCAATTCTGTTTCCAGCCTGAGTAGCAAACATCTTTCCTCTCCCTTTGTGTCAACACACACACACACACACACACACAGACAGACACACACAGGTGCTGCACAGATACACAGCCCTAGAGCAGTGCTTAGAGCCCTTTCATCCTCTCCCTTCTTTTTTCCTTCCATCCAGCTGCTCCCCAGAACGCTGCCATTGGCCCAGGACAGCAGTGCTGGACAGTGGGTTCTGCCCTGGTGCCCAGCCCCTCTGAGAGAGGGCAGGAGCTGCCCCAGAGCCAGGCTGGCCAAACACGGAGCTGTTTGCTGAGTGCATTTATTGCCTTTGCATAATTTATGAACTGGAGGGCTTTGACCATCATTCGTCTCTGCCAGAGGCTGGCACGGAGGGCTCTGGAGGCTGGAGCTGTAAATTGGATGGTGCACTCCAGCAAAGTCCTGGGGTCAGTGTGGGAATTCAAGAGCAGGGATGGCAGTGTTTGCTCCCAGTGCCATGTGCAGCAGAGGCAGTGTTGGCAGCCACCCCGGCTGGCCCAGGCACAGAGCTGTCACTCATGGGCACGCTGGAGGGACAGGAGCAGTTTTAATGGGCTTGGCACCCGCTCTCTTCCATCATGGGCACCAGTAGGGTCGGTCCTTCACCATATGCTTAGCTCTGGAGACAAGGTGCTGCTGGGTACAGCAGTAATTATTTGATGTGGAATTAAGCGGACCTTGAAATTAGAACTGGACTGTGGGAGAGCAGGAGGCGTGGAGTTTAACACTTTGGTGGAAATGGCCTCCCACTGACACTGCTCTGCAGATTCACTGGGGTGTGGGGAGCTGTTCTGTTGGCAAATTCAGATGTCTGATTTGTGCTGGCAAGTTCTCTTCTCCCCAGGTATCTCCATGCTGAAGGGAACACAAAAACCCTGAGCTTCTCCAAGCTTATGAGTCAGTAAAAATTACAGCAGAGATTCTTTAAATCAGACCAAAACTGGACTAAAGGAGAGGCTGCAGAGTGCTCTGAGCACAGCTGGGTCACAGGACACTGCTCATGTGTCTGGCACCAGGAGTGGGTGGCACCTTGAAACCCTCTGAACCCTGCTGCTCAAAGGGAACTGCCCTTGCCTGCTTAGACATCCTTTTCTCCCCCTTTATTTTCACTTTTGCATTCAGTCTGATCAAGACTTGGAGTTTGCCTGGAGGGTGGGCAGAGACAAACAAATGGAGCAATTGCCCCTTTGCTCCCTGGTATGAAACACATAGGAGGTGTGATAAAGAATCCTGGGGAGCCCATGGTGAGGGAGCTCCTGGCTCTGACCATCCAGGGGGAGAAGGTGACAGAGCCCAAAAGCTGAATTTTTCCAATAGCTGTGAAGCAGAAATAGTAAATGGAAAATCTTTGTGACATTCATGCTTGTGACATGCTCTGTGATTCTTGGGGATGTCCTGTGCAGGGCCAGGAGTTGGACTGGATGATCCTTGTGGGTCCCTTCCAGCTCAGGAGGTTCTCTGACTCTGTCTCCTGATTTTCATAGATTAAAATCCATGTGCAGGTTTGCTTTTTTTTTTTGTAAATGCTGGGCCTTGCTCACCTTCATACCAAAATCTCATACAAGCAGTCCTGATGAAGTCAAAATGCGTTGTATTTATGGGGTAAGGTAGGAGTACTTTATATCAGTGCCATGCTGTTCCAGAAATGCTTTCCTTTTGTCAGTTAAGTGGATTCTTCATTAATTAGAACATTGTGTGAGGTTTTCAAAATTAAAGCTAAAATTGCCCCCTGTCTTCATGTGTCTTCTCATTTGTTTGTTATCAGAGTAAATACTCTGGTATTAAATAGGTGCAACTAGTGCTATATAAATCACTTCAGGTATTAAATAAATTTCACTTCCTTTTCTATTTGAAATCAGCTGCAAGGAGATTGTAATTTTATCTAATCTTTCCTTCATTTAAAATTAGTTTAAAAATACCTAGAAATAGTTCTTAGCTCTAATTTGTTAGTACATAGCTCAGTGGTGTAGGGAAGGCACCTTTTCACCCCCTGTACTGATGAAGACAAGGGAAAAGCCAGTGAAACAGAAAAGTTATAATTAAACAACAGACAGAAGATGAGTTGATTTGTGCAAATCAAGTAAGTGTATTTGTGGGAGTATTTGGCTCTGTCTGTTCACATCCCACTGTACAGTTAACCTTTGGAATTCACAAAATATAACTAATTTCAAAGCTATTTGGTTGTCTTATAAAAATACTCAAAGATTATATAAACCCATAAAGATATAAATACATAAAGATATAAGTACATAAAGAGCTTAACTGAGTGCTGTAAGAACCTGACAGTCAGCTGGTCCTCGGGTAGGAAAGCCTGGGTCTCCTGTTTGGTGATGTTTTCCTTGGAAATGTTTGCCATGAGATCTGCATAGCTCAGTCTTGAGTGATACAGAACCTGCAGCTGTAGATAGAAAGAAAACAAACCCACAGAAGGAGCTGCAGGTACCCAGAATTTGGTGGGAAGGATCAAACTTGTGAGTTCCAGGGTTCTCAGAATCCTGTTTCCAACACAGCTTTTGTACTTCCAGCAAATGCAAACATGGTTTGGGTTCTGATGCTTGTCTTTCAGAAACACTGAGTGTCTAGTCCTGCTCTATTCCTACAATATTTGAGAACTGAGCAATGGCACTGGATAAATATCAAGACTCTCTAGAGTTACCGCTCAGCATTTTGTAAAATTGTGATGTCTGGGCTAATCCCAGAGAACCTGGGGGAATCAGTGGCTGTGGCATCCCTGTGATCTCTGGAATCTTCACTTCAGCAGCCGTAAGCAAAGGCACAGGGTGACCTTCCCTTGTGCTCCTGGAGAACAGCAGCCTTGCAAACGCTGCTCTGTGTGCTGGGCACACCTGAGCATCTCCACGGAGCCCCTGCAGCTGCTGGGCTGCAGCCAGCATGAGGAGCACTGCTCATCCAGAGAAAACACACCAACCCTCTAAGATTGTTCTTCTTCTTCCCTGGTCCAGTTTTGGAGTCTGGACGTGTCCCTGCACTAAGAGCTCCTGTGCCCCTGAGCTGAACTGGCAGAGGGCTTTGCAAATGGCTTTTGGTGTGTGCAGGGCAGGTTTTTCAAAATTCAAACACAGAAATGTGTCCTCTGCAGCAGCAGTGGATGGAATTTCCTCCTATACAGTAACTAAACTTGTTCCTAAAGGTGCCAGATGTGATGCCCAACATTTGCGAATGTATCACCCATCTTGTTCACAGAAATATTTATCTTTTTTGTTGCTGCAGCAAGCTTCTCTTACCTTTGCTTTTTCTGTTTTTGTGTTTCAGTGTGACAGCGACAGTGATCAAGAAGAAAAGGTAAGACAGAAAATCAGTATGAGAACAAAACTCATTTACTGGATTCCCTTATTCCTGTTAATCTATTACTTAGTCAAACTTTCTTTTTGGACTAATTTAAAGCATCTCTATACAAAGAAAATTTCTGTCTCTAATTTAATTTTGGAATAGACCTCCAAGGAAAGAGAATTCTAATGAGTACTTTGGAGGCCACACAGTTCATCTTCAAGCATATTGATGCCATGGTCTGTGTGGGTTGTTTATGAACACCAGTCTCACTTCCAACCCTTTCCATGGCTACACTTCCCCTTGGAAGTTGTAGCAGCAACTGAGTCTGTTGGTAACCCTCACATTTGCACTTCTTAACAGTTATTTAACCACTGTTAGTGCCTGTTGTGCTTCTCTGCAGGCAAGGGCCTGAAAATTCCAACTGAAGTGTTATGGTTGATGCATCTATTTTTTAGAAATAACATTTGGAAACTGTACATTAAGTCAAGTAACACAACTTGCTAAGCACTGTCTCCATGATTTTGGGTTTCTAGAGTGGGCAAGGGGAAAAAATGAATGCTGAAAGAGTCAGGCAATGTTCTCTGATGCTGCCTGTTGTTTAGAAGAGTAATAGTAATTAAGAACTGGTATCCATACTGATGAATATTTTTATCCATTATTTTATGTTGTGAATAGACTAACCTTCTTTCCTTGGAAAAACTGAAATAATTATCACAGAAAAACTGGTCTAATTTCTTTATTTGCAGGTTGGATTTTGTGATTTTTATTTGTATGTTGAGCCCTAAGGGATGCTTTGATAATGTAATCACTTTTACCTCCTCTTTCCCTGGATAAATTGGGGGATGGAAGTCAGGGGAGGGTAAAATAATGTCAGAAAATATAGTTCCAATAATAATGTTGTACTGGTTAGAGTTTCATGAGTGGTTCTGTTAACCAGCTCCAAGGCAGGCCAAGCAGAGGAAAGATGACCAGGCTGGTGTGCAGCTCACACAACAGCCAAGTGCAAATATGCTGTAAAACCCAGAGGGAAACAATGAGTACAAAAATCACCTTCCATGAATTTAATCAGTTTTGTACAGGGTTTGTGTAACAGGAAGCCAAGGAAATTTTCAAACCATTCTGTATATAACTTCCAAAGCTTTGTCCTTCAGTTCTTTTCCTAAGTAGAGGATTTTTTCCTCATGTTTCTTAATAATTTGCTAACTATGTTAAAGAAGTGCTGTTTACTTTGAAATGCAATGATTTTCCTTGCATAAGGGAACTAATCACTGGAGTTAATCAGTGTGACAACAGAAAGGGGAGGTTTTGTTGGGTTTTTGCACAGAATATTAACCTGCACTTTTCAATATGAATTTTTAATGCATTACCATTACATTCCATCCTGTGAAGTGATTATTCATTTTCAGGATGTTCCTTATGCAGAGGAAGATGATAAACTGAATTTCAGCTTCTATGTTTATGGCACCCAGAACTAAAAGTGTAATTTCCTGTCACTGCAGCATTTATGGAGCTGAACCTTTGCCTGTTTCACTGATTTTTTTCTCTTGCAGCACTCCTGTATAAAAAGCTAGAGGCAGCTTTTGGGGATGGAGGGGAGATGCTGGTTCAGGATGGTTTCCACAACACAATACAAGAGACAATCAAGACCTCACATAGAATATCCCACTATTTGTGTGGGCAGGATTTAAAATCCAGATGTGTATTCCATCTCTGTGATCCATATTTTCTTTTTCCCTTAATGAAATGAGATTAAGTACAGGCCCAAATATCCCTAAAAACTGAGTGCTTTTCAAATGTCAGAACCAGACCCATCTTTGAGCTCTACAGCTCAGGCCCAGCTCTGAGAGATGACTGCTCACCCTGGCATATTTATTCAGGCTGTGCTGGCAGCCCAGGCAAAGATCTAAAGGCCTTGTTCTGCTGTTAATTTGAATTCAGCATATGTAGCCTGTTATAAAATGCGAGACATCATCATTTGAGCAGGTCAAGCATATTCAGATGAAGACAAATGGTGCTTATTTGATTTTCTTAAAATCAGGAAATGAAAAAAGTGCTCTCTGGAGAAATCATGTTCTGCCTGACTTAGATGATAGAGCAAGGCATGTACCCCAGATAAGAACAGGCTGGTGGCTGGGTTTTATCTCTGAAGGACGGTGGGGACTGTCAGCTCGCTGACATGTGCATTATCCATGTCATTTTAAACAAAGTGACCTGCAGGAAAGTGCACTCTGCCGTGACGTGATAATGGGCTGTTGGATGACAGGTAAAGTACACACTATAAAGGAGGCTGTGCGTTATTCCTTTATTTAACTGACAAGTAGAAACTTCTTTTCTTCAGACAGGCAGGATCTTTTAGATCTCTTTCAATAGGACCCAGAAGATTTTTGAATTCCTGTTTTAAATGAAATAACATTTTTAGGACAAAAAGTTCCTGTGAGCAAACTGCACTGGGAGAAGCGAGGATGGTGGATCCTGTCCAAGGGAACATTTCACCAGTGGTGCCCAACATCCTCAGTTTTCATTAATAGCCAGGGGAGCTGGGGGTGCTCAGCAGGATTATAGGTTTGAAGATCCTTTACCCAAATGCCTTATATCATGATGACATTGGCCTCCAGCTGTGGAGCTGTTCTAGCAGTGAATTGACAAATTGCTCTTGGTTGGACCTTGCTTGGTGTGTTCTGAGGGTTGTGGAGCTGTGCCCCTCCCGCCAGACACAGCTTGGCCTGAAATGTTCCTGGGAAAAGGAGATCTGCCTTTCTTTAGGGCTATCTCTTGCAGATTTTGGTGTCCTGTTGTGTACAGAATGCAGGGTTAATAGCTGCAGAGCAATTCTGTACTCGCTCTGCAGAAAATGCAGAGGAAGCACTTTTGCTTCATTTAGGATTTCTGAGGGCAAACCCCCAGTGATTCACCATAGGAGATCCACAAGAGGTAGAAATAATGCATATAGGTACACATTTCTGCTAGAATAAGTAAAACCTGGAATCCAGGAAGAATCCAGGGCCTTTGAATGAAACATGGCAGATCAGTGTCAGGAAAGGTGTGTGACAGATGGAGGGGCTGAAGGATGGGCTGGTCTGATGGGCCTGATGGGCCACTGAGAGCAGCAGAATGAAGGAAGGAGCAGGAGCAGGAGCCTGAGGAGCAGCTGGATGGTGAGGGGTGACAGTGGCAAAGGCAGTGCCTCAGCCTGCTCCTTCTCCCTGACTTGGACCCGTTCCTCTCTGGCTGTAAATCACAGCTGATATCTGATCTCTGCTAGGTGATGGCTGTGCCTCCAATCCAGCCCTTAATTGGGAGCCACTTTCTGTCTGTGTCTGCCCTCAAATGAGAGGTTGCTCCAGAGGTTTCTCCTGAAGAAGAAACAAAGATATTTAATTGAAACAATGATGCAGCCCCTGCTTAGCGGTGCTGTAGCTGAGGCTGTGTCAGCATCTCAATTTTAAATGACATATTTTGGGTGGATAATTTGTCTATTTATATAGATTCATGCTCCTTCACTTCAGTTTGACACACAGGACTGGACTGGAGCGCTCAAAGTAGACATTTCACCCTCCTGTTGCTGGAAAGTCTGAAGAGGTAGCAATCTGTGGAGGGAGAGTATATTTGGAAGACTTGCATCAGAGTGAGAAGCACTAATTCTTAGAGAGATGTCATTTTCCATCCTGGGATCCTTTCAGCAAATGCCACTGGGATTTCTTACTGAATCAGAAAAAAGTCTGGATCCCAGGGGAACTGTGATTTTCTCCATTAAAAAGTCTGTCAGTCTTACTCTTTGAGCAGGTCTCCAGAGCTGATAATCTAAAATTAGGGCAAGCTATTGCACAGCTGACAAATTTAAGTGCAACTGTATTAGCTTTTGATATCTCGATACAATCTTATAAATTATACCCATGGTAATTAATACAATATTAAAAACATAAGTGCAAACACAAAGTTTGTCTTCTGGAAATCAAAGGAAAACTTGTTTGGAAAAGACATACAAAGAGCTCTGATAAGAAAGTCAGGTGCTAAAGATGAGGTAGGAAATGAGGTCCTGTTTCATTCTCCATCTCTACCATCTCCTCTCACTGCTCTGTTTAATTTTAAAATTAAAGCCTCAATCTGAGGCACTTCAGTGATTTTTCACTTCTTAAGAAAATACTTCATTGATCAGGGAAGCTGCTTTGTAGTGCACACAGAGCAGGGCTGCTTCTGGCTGGAGTTGTACTTAGATAGGATGTGCAGCCTAAAAAAACATCACTATTGATGCCTTAGTCCTGTGTTTATCTCAGGAGCACCCGATCAGTTTGGGAGGCTCTTGAATGCCTCTGGAGCAAGGTCTCCAGGGCCCAGAAGTGTCTGGCTGCAGCCCAGGTGTCCCTGCTGAACTGGGCTCAGCTTTGGTGCCCCTGGTGCAGGATGGGGAGGGAGGACAGGGCCAAACCAGTGCCTGAATTTGCCAGGGGTTGGCATCTGTTCAGAGGGGGAGAGTACCCAAGGGAGGGATTGGGATTAGGATGAGTGGGTGTTGTGCTTGCCAAAGAGCCTGTGCTGGTGGGACTGTGTTGCTTCATTATTTTTCTCTTTGAAAGAAAATTTTCTTCTTTGAAAAGTACTGTGCTGGTAAAAGCACTAAGAGAGCTGAAGAATGATCTTTCTTGAATCAGATTATTTTTAATGATAATGATGATACATCTGATTGCTTTAAATCAGGTACAAACCAAAAAATGGCATGGGAAATACCATAAATGACTCTCCTATGCCCAGGTAACAGGGATGGAGATGTCTATTCTGCACCAAAGAATTCACACCTGCACCCTCTGTGTGTTTCTGCAGCACTTTTGGCCAATTATTTTGCATGTGGACTTTGGAGAGACATTTTGGAGTAGCATTTCGGCAAATGTGTGTCTCCTAGTTTATTGCACAGGCTGCATTTCAGTGGTTAAATAACCACACAAAGTGTTTATATGTTTGTGTGTGTCTGTAGTTCTTCCCAACTTTGCAAACTCGACTGTTTTAGGTAATAATAA